TTGGTCACAACGAAAGAAGGTCCTAACTGGGGCAAGTTATAGACGGCATGGATCTTGAATTTTCCGGTGGTAGTTTAACCCACAATTAATTTTTTCCGTCAAATTCTAACATTATTCTTTTAATTGCAGATTCGACGAGACAGAAAAAAACTATTTTTGTCGATAGTGTAAATTTTCTGTGTACTTTCTCTCAGGGGCGGCTCTCTATAAAGAGCCAAGGAGCCATGGCACCACCTCAAGGAACCTGCTAATTATCAATTCTTAAAATATAATTAACTATTATTAATTGTGCTCACTAGAGTACATAATTGTGTTTTAAAGCCTTAAAACAAAAAAAGTAAATGATTTGATAAATTAGGTACCAGGAAAAATTCATTTGTGCTTATCCGCTGACTTCAAATACGGTCGAGCCGTAATAAACCTTTTTCCATGCATTCTCTGGAAAATAGACTTTAAATAAAGCAATTAAGCAGGCCGTTACCGGACTTAAATATTGTTAAAAAACGAAATGTGTCTGAATCTTCTTTAAGAGGACCACACGACAATTAATAGCGATAAATCCGAAAATAAAGGAGTAGGTATTCAAAGAATTAATAAATTTCGGTACTTGTTTAGATAAAGATTTGAATACTTATTTGTACAACTATTGCTGAAAATGATACTTCGGCCTCATTAATGCAACTGCAAATAAAATGTTGCTATTGTTTATAGATCAGACTAAACGCCATGGAAACGGATAGTACAAATCGTGAAAAAAGTAACACTTTCCATACAATTTTTTGTCAAAAATATCCACTAATTCTCATATAAAACAACACAAAATGAATTACTGGAATGCATGCTTGAAGTATACTTATAATGAAACAAGCCTCCGTCCAAAGAAATTAAAGGGGCTAGATTTGTTTCCGTCACTTGCATTATAAATATTCGAATTATACTCAAAATCTAAATAACTGGAATAATATGAAAACAAAAATTTGTAACTATTAAAATAATGGGGAGGGGGACACAATTTGGCACTACCTTCTACGCAGCTTACGAGCCGCCACTGCTTTCTCTTGCGTAAATTCCGATCTTTTTCTAGATTCCGCATTTCTCTTCTGTTGGATTGGGTCAAGATGGACGAAAAGAATCGTCTTTCTGCTCATTGTGTTTAAAAGCAAATTGATGCAAAACTTCTTTTTGGTGCCATTGTGATTAATGCGCTTCTTTTTGCATACAATTCTAAACTTCTTATTTTAATAACATATTCGACATTTCTCTGCGCTAGATTTGTCACGAATGAAGGGAGGACGCAATTGGGGCAAGACGGATTGAAAGAAACTTACTTTTTTCGGTGATGGTTAAAAGCATGATTTATATTTGGCGATTTTGATAATCTTTAATGGCTTTTGATGTGCTTTTCCTTGCTTACATTCTAATCATTTTCTTTTAATTGCAGATTCGACATTATTTTCTCTTTTGATTGGTCACGGACGAAGGGAAGACGCAATTAAAGCGAGGTGGATGGAAAAATCTTGCATTTTCCCAGCGGTGGTTAAAAGCAATATTTATTTTCCGCGATTTTGTTAATTTTCAATGGCTTTTGATGTGCTTTTCCTTGCTTACATTCTAATCATTTTCTTTTAATTGCAGATTCGACATTATTTTCTCTTTGGATTGGTCACGGACGAAGGGAAGACGCAACTAAAGCGGGGTGGTCGAAAAGAATCTTGCTTTTTCCGGTGGGGTTAAAAGCAACATTTATTTTCCGCCATTTTGTTAATTTTCAATGGCTTTTGATGTGCTTTTCCTTGCTTACATTCTAATCATTTTCTTTTAATTGCAGATTCGACATTATTTTCTCTTTGGATTGGTCACGGACGAAGGGAAGACGCAACTAAAGCGGGGTGGTCGAAAAGAATCTTGCTTTTTCCGGTGGGGGTTGAAAGCAAGATTTATTTTCCGCCATTTTGTTAATTTTCAATGGCTGTTGATGTGCTTTTCCTTGCTTACATTCTAATCATTTTCTTTTAATTGCAGATTCGACATTATTTTCTCTTTGGATGGGTCACGGACGAAGGGAAGACGCAATTAAAGCCAGGTGGATGGAAAAATCTTGCTTTTTCCCGGTGGTGGTTAAAAGCAACATTTATTTTCCGCGATTTTGTTAATTTGCAATGGCTTTTGATGTGCTTACATTCTAATCATTTTCTTTTAATTGCAGATTCGACATTATTTGCTCTTTGGATTGGTCACGAACGAAGGGAAGACGCAACTATAGCGAGGTGGTCGGAAAGAATCTTGCCTTTTTTCCGGTGGGTGTTAAAAGCAACATTTATTTTTCGCGATTTTGTTAATTTGCATGGCTTTTGATGTGCTTTTCCTTGTTTACATTCTAATCATTTTCTTTTAATTGCAGATTCGACATTATTTTCTCTGTGGATTGGTCACGGGCAAAGGGAAGACGCACTTAAAACGAGGTGGATGGAAAAATGTTGCTTTTTCCCGGTGGTGGTTAAAAGCAACATTTATTTTTGGCGATTTTGTTAATTTTCAATGGATTTTGATGCGCTTCTCCTTGATTATACCTTCTAACCATTTTCTTTTAGTTACAGATTCTACATTTCTCCTCTGGATTGGTCACGAACGAAAGGAAGAAGCAACAAAAGCGTGGTGGTTGGAAAGAATCGTGCTTTTTTTCCGGGGGTGGTTAGATGCGCAGCGTTTTCTATTTTTAAAACCAAACGATCCGCGAGAGAAGAAAAACTTACACCGAATTTTATTGTTGTGTCGTAATATTTTGTGTATTTTTTCGAAATTCACTTTAGGTAGGCAAGTAGAAGAGAGTGGGTTCGGAATTGAGATCCATGAGTACCTTGACTTGCCAGTGGTGCAAGAAGCCGGAGTAGGTAACTAGAGGTGCTAGGGCGCTTTTGAAAATAGTTAAAAGTAGAAACCAATAAAAGAAATCTTGTGAAAATACATTTAAATATTGATTTTGTAAGCAACGACGATGACCATCGACGGACTTGAAGATGCTTTTATCTGACAAAAACTGAGGGGAAAATACAATACGAAGAAACTTCTACATACAAAAGTGTAAACTTCTGTTATCAATATATCTTTTAAACAATGCCTATTACTCAATTCAAATATCATTAGCGTCTGTGAAAATCTTACGGTTTCTAGGTTCGATTTCAGAAGCAGTGTTGGGTAAATCGTTTTTACCGCATTATAAAAAAAATGAAAAATTACGCTGTTTCAGGCTGCCTGTCTGTCTTTATTGTAGGGTGTGTTGTTCATCTGGACTCTGGTACATGGATCATATAATTATAGGTATCAAACTAAAGTTTATAGATAGGTATAATGTCAAGAGGTGCCCCCCCCCCCCCTCTTAAACAATCGCTCGCTCTAAAAGTACTGAAATCCAGAATAGAATAAGAAATGTGAACTTTTTTTTAAATAAACGATAGAGGAAACTCAAAATGTTCACCAGCTCCTAAAACATAGGGCGACAAACCTTGATCGCTACTCTACGCTACGCCACTGACTACCAGCCATTTTAAAACAATAAAATAAATTATTATTACACAAATATAAAAAGGCCCACCCTCATTGCGCCAATAATAGGATCTAGATAATTTAAGCAAAATAATCATAATAAAAATAAATTTAAAAAATTGGGTTTCGTTTGGTCGAAACATGTAATTACGTTATTTTTTTTAATATGAACCTCTACCTATGTTTTTATAAACCTGTTTGTTCCCAAAGTCCTATTATTCAGGCTTTAGCGCGCGGATACCTTAGGGCGCAAATTTTAATGCTCTCTTACACGTAATTTTTGCCTCGAGTCGGTCCTGCAACTGGTGCGAGACGGTCAGAAAGTGCAAAACTTATTTTTGGCGATATTGTACATTTTTTATGATCTTTTGTAAAATTACGTCGCTTTTAAGATCGCCAGGTTTACACAGCAAGACGCACAAATTATTGAAACAATTGATGTTTTTACCGCCCTCGCGTTAGTAAGGGGCGTGTTGCATTGGGGTAAAAAAATACCCCCCTCCCCACTTTTTGACGCTTGGAAGTCAGCAAATTTTTTTGCTTACAATTCTAATCATCTTTTTAAATTGTGCATATTTGACAATTTTACTACGGATTTTGGTGTTCCTTTTTTTACTTACAATTCTAATCATTTTTGTAATTGCAGATTTGCCATTTCCTCTGTTGGATCAGTCAGAAACGATGGGGAGACGCAACTGAGGCGAGATGGACAGAAAGAATCTTACTTTTTGTTTTTTGTCAATTTTGCCTTTTGATGTGCTTTTTCTTGCTTACAATTCTAAACTTTTGTTTTAATTGCAGATTTGACTTTTCTCTGCTAGATTGGTCGTGAATGAAGGGAGAACACAACCGAAACGAGATGGACGGAAAGAATTTTGCATTGTTCCGTTGGTGTACTTTTTCTTGTTTAAAAGTCTAATCGTTTTCCTTAGTTGCAGGTTCGCCCAACGAACAGAAGCAGGATGCAACTGGGAAAAGATGGACGCGAAAGGATTTTGCTTTTTCTGATGGTGGTTAAAAGCAAAAATTTTTTTGGCAATTTGTACGTTTTTTAGGACTTTCGATGACATTTATCTGCTGGATTATACACGATATCGGAGGATAAGTGAATGTCACAAACAGCTACCGGACCTGTACAGTGTAAACATAAAAAACCAAGTTATTCATAATTTATTTTTAATAAAACTGTTATTTTACACAAATTTGTGATGTATCAAATATATATTTCTCTTGCTCCACCATTATTACCCTTCTTTTTACCTACATTAAAATACTACATTTTTACAAAACATAATTTTTTGGTACAAAATTTGTTAAATTTAGTTTTACATGCAGATAAACATACATATTAACTAATCACACTTTAAGGTTACAGACATAGCTGCCAAAAATAAATGCGTGAATTTCATTCGGACTATTTGGTAAATATATAAACAGCAAAAATAAAGAAACCGGAATGAAGTCAATTCAGTCTATTTACGGAGTTAAATAGAGTATATAAGTACTTAAATAACAAAAGTATAGAATGCGCCTTTTAAATACTGATTATTGAACAAATACCATAATGGCACAGCCATTTTTGTTTAATAGTTAACAATGTACACTCCATTCTTATTGCAAGTTCATAAAACGATATGAATAGGTACAAAGTACCACTTTATCACATTAATAATTGGTCCAACTGGTACACTAATATTCACAAACCAAAAGTGCTTATTTTTTGTTAAACTGTTTCAATTTTTTGTTATAATCGACGGAAAGAGAATAAGTAGTTTTATTACAGGTTAGTTACCATATAACTAAGCTTCGCTGCCTAAGTACACTGGTAGACTACGTTCTTAAGACCTTCGGTCTTAATTGTCTGGTGATTTTTCGATTGAATTTTCATTTAGTACATTGTGCCGGGTTTTGTGTTTACATTGCGTAGCAGTGCCTATTACTTCCATCCATCTGAAAAGATACACGTTTGTCTCTCACAGAAAAAAGTCAAAAAACAAGCATAAGTTTAAAGCTAACAAAAAACTCACCTATTGTATGTATATTCAGATTCTGCTCGGAAGAAGTACACATGATTTTTGTACTGCAATTTGAATACAAACTCTTTGCCAATATTATCATCTGTTGTCGGTGTTCCAATTGAATACCCCAACAGTGGCAAAGACGCTAAAGGAAATTCATCCATGCAACCCTTATAGAAAAATAAGCAAAATGATGTAAACACCACCCACAATTTTTGCCATCCGTTACTACTCTTAAACTTTCTCAATAGGTATCCAGATAATTGATTCTAACAAGAAAATATGATAGATATTGTCGTGGGTAATTGCTACACGTACCTGCATAGCTATGAGCTGATCCTCCATGCTAAGACTAGTATTCCTATGCCAACAAACGTGAACGGTCGTATTGCTACGTTGAGTTGATGGTTTTGTCGTTTGAGTTCCAATATCTTTACCACATTGATCCACAATTTCATCTGACGAACCTACAAGGCCAAGTTACTCGAAATATCGAAAATAACAGTAAACTAACTACAACTCTTTAAACTTAAATACGTAATTTTCGTATCTGTTTTATCCCTAGCCTGCTGAATGGCGTTCTGCATGTCTTCCTTCCAGCAGTCCTTTTCTTCTTGAGAATTTGCAGCGACCATTAACGCTCTATTACCTCCTGCAAAATCCATGTCACAAACGCTAAAACAAGTTGGGTACGTACCATAGATTATAAATCCATAACTAGCTAAATCACCCTCGGGTTCTTCCAACAAAACCCCACGCAACGGCATATGGCCGTGTACCTTAAATTCAAGAGAAACAGGAGATCGTGAAGTGTACAATAAGATATCCGAAAACTAAAAATGATGTGTTATACATATCCAAAATATTTATCAATATACCAGGAAGAACATTCTTTGCTGGTACCCTTTCCTGGAATGTTTGAGTAAACAACCGTGCCTGATGAATTTACGGTCGGGTTGTACAATATTATCAAAGCCACTAATATCTCTTTGTAATTCGCATAACGTTGCCAAATTTTCGGAATGCGCCAGCGTTACTACAACAGGATGCATTAGTTCTTTTAACATGTCATTCGCCGTCAGACAGTCTGCTCGATCGGGATGAGTAGATCCGTAATGTTTTAAAAGTCCTGAAAAATACGTAAGTTATCCCGAATTAAAGTGTAGGTCACTTACTTTGAAGTAAATTCTGATATTGTAGGAGTCTGTGTAGAGGTTTAAGAATAAAGACGGTGAACGGAAGGTAACAAACTTTTTGAGTTTCGAAATCACGATAGAGTTGCTCGAAGTGATTATTCTGTTTAAACGCCTGATCGAGCCGTTCCAAAACGGAAATGTGACCGTCTAGGTATTCTTCGTAAATCTGAAAGTATTTACATTGATTACATCAATCGCCGACTGAATAAGGTTTACCGGTAGTAGGGGAGGTAGATGGGTTAGCAATACATCGGCGATACGTCCCGATCCTGACTTTGGACCACCCTGTCCGTCCCAATTTTGAAGTCTCTGTTCTAAGTCTCTAACTAGTAAACCGTGAGCTTGGGCTAATGGCGCAATTAGGGTCAATAACATTGAACATTCTTCCGCCTCCTCTTTTGCTACTTCATCACGAAACCACTGAAAGAATTAATTATTTCAATATTATGCGTAAAATAAGGTTGTTAGACATTTACATGGGAAAGATTATGTTAACTCTCTTGTTGATGACATAAGTGGGAGTGAAAATTGAGGTTCTTTGTCTTTTTTTGCCACCCCCCATATGTAACCAAATCCCATCCCATTTATGTACTAGTCGTAATCGATCTATTTATATTATGTAAGAACACTAACTTTTAGCGCATTTTTCCGAATGGAAAAGTTACTATTTTGTGGATTCATTATTTTCCTTCCTTAAATTACATTTTGTTTTTACTGCGGTTGATCTGAATTTTTGGTAAAATATTCCTTATAGTAGGGTCTCCTGTAGGACAACAGAAATCTAAAATTTTGGAAAAAGCACATTTTGTAGTAAAGGCTTCTTTTTGATGAAATATCGCCGTTCGCAAGCCCCCCAACTCCTCCACGATTCAAAGTTGTATTCAACTTTTTGCTAGCAAAATTTATTAAAAGAGAGGTTAAGCAAGGAGTAACTAAAAATCCGATACAACTGAATACTGAACGATCCTCGAGATCTTCACACACACATCAGTTTTACAATACACCTTAAGGGGCTGATTCTGTCCCACCAGATCAGCATAACTTGTAAAACAAATTTTTGAATCTGCATTAGTTTTACTTTTATTTGATGTTGCTTGAATACTAAATAGTAAATACACAAATCAAAGGCATTTGAACACTAAATACTTTTACGTTCAGCACAAGCGAATACTAGATACAGATACATTGAAAATTATTCAAATATATACTTAAAAAAATAAGTATTCAAATACTTTAGAATGTATTCGAATACTTTCAAAGGTATTCGAATACTTTCAAAAGTATTCTAATACTATCAAAGGTATTCGAATACTTTGAAAAGTATTCGAATACTTTCAAAAGTATTCTAATACTATCAAAGGTATTCGAATACTATAAAGAGTATTCGAATACTTTGAAAAGTATTCAAATACCTTGCGAAGTATTCGAATACTTTACGAAGTATCCAAATACTTTGCGAAGTATTCGAATACTAAATATTTGTGAAAGTATTTGAGTTACAAATACAAATACTGCTTCCATAAAAGTATTTAATTACAAAGTATTTGAATACTTTAAAGGATTTGAATACTAAAAAGTATTTACAAAATCGAATACTGCCCAGCTCTGCCTACATACAAAATTTCATTTAAATATCTTACCAAATAAAAAATTTGAAATTGTGCGTGCGCAAAACAAATTTTTTGATTCGGCATTAAATTAAATTCATACAGTCGTATTTTCTGCTTCTCAGGCGTGCTAATAAACAAACTGGGCGCGATGAGAGTGACTGAAATAGTTACACTACCAACTCATTCTATCGCACGGCTTCAACGGTACGCATTTGTCGCCTATACCGGTTTCCCTTCCAGTTACATTCTTTATAGTAGACATAGGGAAAAACACACGTAACTCCCGATGTCTACTTCATAATGATTGTAAAGTAGAAATATACAGCACTGTGAACAGAAATAAATCAAACGATTTCACGCTTGTGTTTTTGACATTAACGACTAATGACAATTCCGCAGTTTAGTTAGCAACAACTACCAGCTTACAAAATTCGTCACTCGTTTTATTTTTTAGCGTAATACTCTGTGCGGGGAAAATGCGCTTCCGTTGGTCGCAAGTGACCACGTTTTTAACTTATTATTTTGACACACTTACGCAAACGCGAGTCTGCCCAAAACCTTTTCAGCTCTTCCTTTTATGTTTAAGAATATGTGCACCAAATTTGGTTCCAATTGTTTAGTCGGAAATGAGAGTACAGACAGACAAACAGATATTATCGAAATTACGTTTGTCGGATTCTTGGTGCTTCAAAACGTGTATTTTCGTCAAAAAAGTGGGGGGTCATTCTCTACCACTACCCCAATGCAAAATACCAAGTGTTTCAGTTTATGTAAACATAAGACCTCCAAAATAGGAATTATATTATCAACAAGGATCAATATACCATGTACCAAATATGTTCTGTTGTTTCTCCCACCAAATTTGCTTTGCTCATAAATTTTTGTTGTCCAATCAATTTTGGATTTGTTATTGGAAATCGAAATGTAAGACTGGATATTGGGATTATTAGGATATTGCCATCGTCGCCACTTTTTATTACATTAATTATCGAATAAATTTGTATTGTGATTAAATGAAGTTTTTAACAGTTGTACTTGTATGTTAATTGTTTTTGTGAGTGACTTTATTTAATTGACCTATCTGGACAGGTGGCTTAGTGACCGTTTGCCATTTCACACAGTGCTTTTCATTTGTTATAATTTCAGTAGATATAGTTGCCTAACTATTCGTGTGGGAAATAATAAATTACAAACACTCATTATAATTTGCCATGTCCCGGTTTGTGGGATTATTGTGTTTTATGACAATAGATTGTGTAAATGCTTCAATGAACATGTTGTATTTTCCTATGATACACTAAAAATCACAAAACCTGCAAACTATGGAAATGTCAAAAGCACTTTTAATTACTTAATATTAATAAAACAAATTTTTAATATCTTTACCAATTAAGTAGCACAAAATTTTTTATTTGCAGCAATAAATAGCACAAAATTAGGAGTTATTTTGTATTTTGTCGAACGGGTACTACGAACTCCATGGATCTAATAACTTATGAAGAGAGGGGAAGTCAATCGATGCTACACATACTGTAGATCTTTCCGGATAATGCATAGAACTTGATTTTTTAAATGCTGTGGTAACATATTACATGCGAGTTGTCATCCATCATAGCAATATTGTCCTACATAATTTATATTGTACCTCTGTCCCGTATTATTCCATTAATCGGTAAATAGTGAAAAATAACAAAATTGGGTAATCATAACTGGTTATTACGTTATGGAATCCATTTTATGAAGCAGGAAAAAAAATGTTGTATTCTGTTGTTAAATTGTCGACGATTTAATAAGTAAACACGATTATCTGATAATTATTTGTTAACCGAAAATATTCAATTAAATTGATTAACATAAGATTAAAAAACTTGTGAACTCACCACATTAATAACATCCAGATCTTTCTTGTAAGTCACCTCGGTCAACAAAATCTCCTTGGCAATATAATAAGACTTATCGGATGCAAACCTTGACTTCTTCCTTACTTCCCCCTCAATATCAGCAATAATTGTAATGTTCGCTTTGTTGATCGGCGTATTCGCGTTGATCGAATTTAAGTATTGCTCCTTCGATAGATTCGTAACCTCGCTGAAGTCGTGACATTTCGTGTCATTCTCGTTATTCTCCTTCCAACGGTCATAGATGAAGTTTGTCGCATGACCGTTTATCTTCGAATTGGGCGTCGACGTCGTGTAAACGGAATTATTATTTTCCGATATCAGAGTCTCATCCTTGTTGTTGGACTCGACCTTTCCCTTCTCTGAAAGTGGATTTATACGTTAGTATAGTGGCTTAATCAAAAGTGGCTGAACGGAAATAGAACACAAGCAAAAGCAATATCAAAAAAGCAAACCCTCACCTATTTCCTGGTTAAGCATTAATAAAGGTACAAAAGCACTGCGATATTAGTAATTAGTATGTTTTATTTAGAATAATAATAAATGGATATAAGATGTTAACTTAATGCACAGAGCGGAAAATATTAGGTGACACCTAAGGAATAACAGTATATTATTTATTTATTAATATTGACATGTTACGTTTTGAAATTTCTCAACCTATGTTTTTCAGATTTGCAATCTACATAGCTTAGGCCAAACAATTCGTTTTATTGATTTGTTGTAATTTTTATTACTTATAAATGTAGTATCACAAAACAATTACTATAATAAAACTTCAACGAATCATTTGTACTTTAAATCATTTCATAGGGTAAGATCTAGGTCTCCGTCTACACTGAAACTTAATTGACTAAATGAACTTCATCACAATAAACCTCTTCTTGTTACACACAATTAGAATTAAACTTGAGTTGGTTGGTAACTAACAAAACACACAACGCTAATCACATTTTCTCTATGTAGTAGGAATATAAAATATATGAGCAAAAAAAATCACAGATAACAATTGTCATATCTGCACTATTGGTAGCAAATCCTGCTTTGACATAAAGAGTATACTCTATACTCGATTCCATCTAACATGAAAGAACAACAGAATGTATATTCAGTATCTCACGTCCAATACAGGTATCTTAAAAGAAGTGTGATTGCAGAGCTCTAAATTCTATTAAGCAATTAAGTGTCTTTCGGTAGCTAATTTAAAATTGGAGTTTTCTCAAATTTTAATAATGACTCAGACTTGAACCTTACTCAATATACACACTTGATAAAATAACAAATACATACAAAACGCGAAACATGATTCGTCTAAAAATTATACAAAATTTCTTACGGTACTACACTAAAAATTGTTTAGCACTTCATTTTGGCTATAATTACTATATTAAAATTTTAAATAAAAACACATTTAAAATTTTTCACTTTAAAAATTTGAACATACAGAATCTATCAAACATTGGTCTAATAATGTTACTGTCTCAATTTACTTGTGTAATTGAATTGCATGAGAATTTCGATCAAATTTGGCACTTTCTTATTGTGCTAACTTTGGATTAATACAACCCCAAAACAAGCAAATGTGCAGCGTTCGCTCGTTACAGGCTCTCCGCTTCATGTGTAAAGGAGTAAATGGAAATCATACGGATGCCATGCAAATCAATACGACATTAAATTGTGTTAAAACGAGAATGGAATAGTAAGACAATTAATTCTATCTAAATTTGATTTAGTTGATAGCGCAGGGTTATTTCTTTATTCTATTTACAAATACATTCAGTCTTCCTGTAGCCGCATAAAATCAAAATTCTAAAAATATTCACAAATTTATTTCTAAACAGAAGCACTTCGAAAATTTGGCGTATCAAATTCATCTCATCTACACATTCTTCACCAACTGAATCAATCGTCGTGTATTTGGTAGAAGTAAAATGTAGCTTTTGGCACATACCACTAAAGGTTGGCACATGTTTTGTGTGGTTACAAAAACGAGGGAACATCGATTGGAATACTAATATATCGAATTCCTCATTGATTCGCTCTCGAACAATAAAGTTGTTTAATTTAATTGCAACAAAGTGGTTAATGTAAATTACTTTGATTAAATTTCATGAGAATTAACAAGAAATTTTGATTGCTCCTCTCACAAAAGAATTAGAAATATTAACAGTCAAAACAAAGTCAAGTGCTTGCCAAAGATTGTACGGATAATAGACATACAAAGAGTGTCATAAAGTATGAAGCGTAAATTAATCTAGAATAAACAAACCACAAAATATAGATATCGAATGTAAGCTCTTAAGAGCTAACAACAGCAAAAAAAAAAACAGACTAAGATCTAGAATTGTCAATTTTGAAGTTTGTATTGTCAGTTACTGTAAAGTGTAAAGCATAGCTAACAACAGTATAAAAAGATCAAGTGAAAATCTACAAGAACTATAATTAAACATCAATTCGATTGGTATTGACACAGTTCTGACAGCAATACTCAGTAGGTTTAATGGTTGTTTGCACCAACAAATTTAAGCGGACCTTAGCTGAAGCCATTGAACTGTATAATCTGTAACTGGAAGGGTATCAATAACCAAAATCGCATGCCGTCTAACGTAGGCTGTGGTAGTTATCATCATCCTTGTTTCACACGTTGTTTGTATAATCATCTTTGTCTGGCACATTGTTTTGTAAAAAGTTTATGGACGATGCCATTCCAGTTACGGGTATCCTGTTGAATCTTCGACCATTTAAAGTAGAATGGCTTAGGCGATTTGTCCGGTTAATTCTGATAACGAACGCGACCTGTCCTGCTTAATAGCCGAAAAAACGCACGGAGGCGGGCGCACGGTTGAACGCTTCGCCTAATCGTCGCGGTCGTACCTGCCTTTTGTACGCACCGCCCATTGCTACTACCGATCGAACGATTTAGCGAGGTCTTCGACGCCCGTCGCCCTACCGTCGACGGACGCGTGGGAAAGTCGACCGAACTTGATCGTTTAGAGCGTTTTGCAACCTCTACTCGGGAGGGTCGGGGGTAAAACAAAGATACAGTTGTTTGCAGGTCGTACTTCTATTTAGTGCGAAAATTGCGCCTGTTTATCTTAATATACATGAACTATATCATACTCCGATCGTTATCTCACATAAACAAGAATTATCTGTTGGTGTCCAGTGATATCATTTCATTTTGGTTACCCATTCTTTTCGTCTTACTGGGTCCTTCGGAAATCGTCTCATTGAAAAGCATTTCTTGACTGAATTACTACAATCTACTGTGGCACAACCAGGCAATTTAAACCTATTATTATCAGTGTCGTAGTAGTAATTGGTCCTCTTTGTCACATGGAACTTCACAACATATTACAAAACTAATAAATAAACACGACTTAAGGAAACAACCAAGAATAGGTACATGACATTACAGTTTGCCACAAAATGGCGGCCGTGTACCACCAACCAATCAAAAATGATGCACCTATTGTCGCCATTTTCTTCTATAGTCACTGTAAATTTAACCAGGACAAAATTGTCTCTCAGTGATGGATCAAACTATCATATTTATCTGTCACCTTTCACACCGGCGGATCACTCTTAAAATGAATGGCGAATAACGGCGCAGAGCTAATATAAGATCGGCAACTGCTGGGGAAAACGTACATGACATTACAGTTTGCCACAAAATGGCGGCCGTGTACCACCAACCAATCAAAAATGATGCACCTATTGTCGCCATTTTCTTCTATAGTCACTGTAAATTTAACCAGGACAAAATTGTCTCTCAGTGATGGATCAAACTATCATATTTATCTGTCACCTTTCACACCGGCGGATCACTCTTAAAATGAATGGCGAATAACGGCGCAGAGCTAATATAAGATCGGCAACTGCTGGGGAAAACTTGTTGATTGAGTTTCAGAGTGTCATGTTCGTTATTCGCGATTTACAAATTGTGAAGCGCCCTCACCCAACAGTTATTTTACTTACTAATAGACGTATTGTGCTGTCAAATTCCACAAAACTATACGTCTTACCAACGGTAATGTAAACCGCGACATGACTACAGCACTGGAAACATTCAAGTAAACCGCGCAAACTCTTCGGCTGCGCATGTAAAGCTCTCGCCATGCTATAGGCGTGTAGCCTGTAGAACTGTCCTGTACAGGTATGGAAAAAGATCTGACTTATAGCAAAGATAATACTACACTAGATAGACACCGTCTGTATAAATTTTAAACGCTCAATTTTGTCCATGGGTTTTTACCACAATAGTAGCAATTATTCACTGCATTTTGCAGACAATATTAGAACAATGGCTCTTTATATTGTTAGTCAAGCGCGGCCTTCTGTAGGCGTATCGCATTCTTTCACTGTTCTTTTTCTGCTCTAATTTAAATTAATAACATATTCCACACTCAACAGTTACAGAAAAATCTGCCGTATTTCTTATAAAGATTGGAAGGTTTCAGTTTCAGCCTGACAATCTACCTGTTCCTGTTTACAATTACACAATTTTGACATGTCCAAAAAACGGCTATCGCAATAGCTACCTAGCTCGTGCTAGGAAGCTAAAAAAGTTTTTGACAGTCTTACATCTTTTATGCCTAATGTGGACTACTAAAATTTTAACGAAACAAAAATAACTGTTTTGCTGAAAAAAAAATATTTTAGCTTTTTGTCTTTGACAGTTTTTTTGTGATAAAACCTGACAGAAGGTCTTTGAAAGAATTTAATAAAAATAAGTTATTTAAAAAAAATTCGATGCCGTTATTTTATAAATCCGAGCCGAACATAGGCAATTAACATGGGATAAATGTTTTTTGTAGATTGTGCTCCCCATGTTAACTTAAAGGGCTTATCGTGACACCAATCAAAAGAAAGATTGTTTTCTCATCTAATCACATACGAATTAGTTAATTTTCGGTTGCATTTCCCATTATTTCATCAAAATTTGGAAATAAATGCAATTACCAAAATCAAGCAAGCCATGACTATTAACACTATTAGTAAGACAAAAAGCAGATTCAAATGTTATTCAAAAATTTCCAATTGAGTCATGGCTTAACATGATTTTGCTAATTGCTAATTATGTTGAATTTTTTATGAAATTATGAGAAATACACCTGCAAATGAACAAATTCGCCTATCATTAGATGAGAAAAAAATCTTCTTTCGATTGCATGGGGTCATCAATAAACCCTCGTAAGTCGGAAGTTAACCTACATGGAGCAGTGGAGCAACAATCTGCAAAAAACATTTTAATTTTTTAACATGTTAATTGTTTATGTTCGGTTTTGAAATATTCACCAGGTATGTGCCTGAACTCAAAATTTAAGTGCCGGCGTGATTTAGTTTCTCTGGAAAGTATACATTCGAAAAAATGTCAAATTTTGAGAAGAAAAGGTTATAATAGCGAAATGGGTAAAGTTAAGTACTATACTATGTTACATAACAAATAAAAAAGTACTCTACAGTACTTTTGAATTTCTCTACAAAATATGGGGTGTTGCAATTTAAAAAAACACGGATGTTTGATACGCTAGTGAAATACAGCACGCCACTGGTGACCAGAAATATTTTAGAAACATTTTTTTCCGATATCTTTTATGGTGAAGGCATTACGATCCGAGGGGGATGTTACACCCTGTATAATGTACATATTATACAAAGGGTAGTCTAATCTTTGCTTACAACTTACAAGGAAAAACATGCATTGAGTTTGTTGAATTCGTAACTGTGATTTAACATTCCAGCCCGCTAAAAGTGCGTAATATTCGCAACGTGGCGGAAATTCTCAGAAACGCCTACACAGACATTTGCTTTACCTTTAAATGTAATTTAATCTATGTAAATATATAAAGGAATGTGGGGTAGGTCAAGGAAGAGATAATGTAATGCAGCTTGTGTGTTGAATACGTACGATTACGGCTTCCGATGATAGGGTTAATTGCAAAAGGCCCCTATATCTTCTTTACGGAACTAAATAAGCGATTTAGCAACTTGCCTATTTACGGTGTCTATCTAGTGTATTATCTTTGCTTATGGTAAGAAGGAAGATACCCGATAAATATTATATGAGTGCAAAGTGAGATAGAATACACATCAAACTAAAAGCGCTGATGCCATTCATGCGTCTTTTGAGTAGGCTAGTAACAATGGACACATTTAATTGCTCCTGTCAGTGTCAACATTGGTAAAGTTATGTCTCTCTCACACTCATCTAATGCTTATTGGGTTTCTTTCTAGCTTATTAAAAAGTCAGACCTACAATAATCTTTTTCTATACCTCTATGTCCCTTGTGTAGAAAAATGGTTTCATTTTGTCCATTCTACGTCTTCAACTAAATTATTAAATAAAAACCATTTCCTGCTTGCACTCAGTGCTAATATCTAAAATCATTGCTGTCAAATTTGTGTGCAAGGTAGGTTGCATAACTGTCAGGTATACAAACGCATTGACTTGTATATTTAAGAATTGAACATAGGAGATTTGTATGTTAGAGTTAAAATTTACACACTGTATGTACAGTTGTACTTGTGCGGTTATGTTGACATTACCTCACTTCTGCGCATTTAATCCCATACTTATGATTACATGCAATTCAAATACGATACGATCCTAGAATTTGCCAACGCCCTAGAAGACTGTAAATAATAATAAACTCCATTCGACAGAATGCGCTTCTGATCATTCAAGAATGTTACAGGAAATTTACAACATAAATATAACAATGTTATAAAAAAGATCTCTATTACCGCGAAATAGTAAATGTTTTAAACTTTTAATTTAACTAATGAAATAGACAAACCTGGGCAAACACTTAACCTTGGCGTAAACAGAACGTTAAATAAATAGCCGCAATTTCGACAAATCAATCCCATTTATGAATACCAATATTATAAAAAAATGAGCAAGTTTTCAGAATTCTTATTTGTTACTCGACGAGTATGACACACGGCTTCATAAAAAATGTAAAATTACGTCGACTACTAATCGCAATTTTCCAACGGGTACCTAATGAAATTTAAAATCAAATTTCCGGAGGTCTGTCATCTTCGAAGTCGTCTTCGATTAAAGGAGGAGGAATCGAGGAGACGTCGAAACCTTCCGCTAACTCGTACCTATCGCTAAGTTCCTCCTCGCGTTCCATACGAAAGATGTCGGAGCCCGACTGCGAATCTCCGTCGGGAAAGTAGCCCTCCTCCAGCGCCTCGGAGTATACCGAATTCATGATCATTCCATCGTCGTTAATGACGTTTTCGTATTGGAATTTACTGGGAAGATCTTTAATGCTATGGGAGTGTATGCAGTCATTGTATTCGGGAAGCGACGACTCGTGTTCTACGTAAAAAAATCCTTTGTCTTTTTCGGTTTTGTGTCTCTTCTGGGGCACCTGCCTCCTCCGCCGGTACCCCCTTCGATCCCTACAATCCGGCGTATTCTTCGGAGATTCCATGGAGCTGGTCGATTCGTTTTCGCTAGGAGGACTTTTTGTTTGAAATATACTTTTCGCGATTGGTTTCTTGTGACTTCGAGTTAGAGGCACTGTGGCCGTTTTATTGGCCGAAATTGTTTTTAGGGAGGGTACTGGAGTCGACTCGGAACTTAAACTACTGGAATAGTACGGCGAACACTTGGATAGTGGAACTTTGATTGGTCTATCGGACACCTTTAAGGATGAGGATTTTTGCATGAACCTCTGTTTCTCTGTTTTTTGTTCCAAGGAGCTGCTTTCCGTGCTCTTTTCTGTGTCGGATAGCAACTGTATCGGAATCAAAACGGGACGTTCGGTGGATTTGGTAAACGTTTTTTGTTTATCTGTAAATCTCGACGATGTCAAATTTGATTGTATCACTACATCTTCAGACGGAATGTTTTGAGGACTTTTGATATTCTTTTGATCATAGGGCACGTCAAGGTCGTCGATACTAGATCCTAGTCGCGTCACGGATTGTCGTACGTTAAAAAACTGTTGCGGAATCAATGTTTTAGAAGTATCCGAACTGGAAATATCAGAAATTGTAGGTACAAATTCGGTCAATGTACTACTATCACCTGTTGAAGCGCTTGATGACAGCTTTTGAAACTGTAGCCCTGAATTGTGCTGCTTTAATGTATTACTGTTACTGCTTGACCACTCGGATATCGAATGCGCAATGTCGGCGAGTGAATTATCGTCACTTTTTAAACCCGAGCTACTTTTGGTGGCACCACTATTACTTGTGGATACATTTTGAATTTTTACCGTATTGGTACTATTGGACCATTCGGATAAACTCAACGCAATAGACGTATCTTCCGAATGAGAGCTATGCGTACATTTCGTAGGTTTTAGCGCTAATCTGACCGTACCATCTTCCAGATTCGTTCCCTTGGAACTCGTGCACTCCTCTTCAGAATAAGAACTGTGTGAGCTTTTATGCTTCCTGGTATCACTTTTATGACCGGAATGAGATGAATCGTCCGAGTTCGTGCTTCGCCTTAAAACCGTAGGAGGTCTCAATTCATTCTTGGAGACCTCTACGACATCTACGAAGACGTCATCATTTAAATTGGATATGTTCAAGTCTTCCTCGGAATTAGAACTCGATAAACCCGCCTTGTTTTGGAGAATAATTTTAACTCCACTTGGGCCTATGCTGTAGCTGTCCGAAATGCACTCGCTAATCTGATCCATCTGATCGGTTGCCACATTTTCATAGGTGGGATCCGAAGCCGTGTTGCTCTTATCGCCATCCATATCCATAGTTTTGTTTTCATTATCGGAATCGGAATCGTTATCGTAAGCACTGACCGTGCTCGATTCAACTAACACCCTACATGGCTCTTCTGGAGGCGTGATGTAATGAGTTTCCACTTTACCTGTAACTAAAGGTTCTTGGATGCTCGAAGGAGGACTGGGCCAGGGCTCAGAATCTTGACTCTTTAAAGATCCTCGAAGTCCGAATACTTTCGGAATCTCAGGTTGAGGTGGTGGTTTATAGACTTGCGTTGTAATTTGCGAGGCGTCCGAACTTCCGGTTTCGTGCAAGGCGAACAGTGGCTTCGATCCCGTTTGTGGTATCTCCGGCAATGGCCACTCGTCACTCTCCTGACTGCTAGAACCCTTTTTCGCTTTGACATGTTCGGGATCGACCCACTCTTCATCAATCACCGTATCGTCCGAATCTTGGTGTCTCAGTTTCAATCCGCTTTCCGACGTGATAATTTCAATGTCGTCAATCGACAGTTCCGCCATTTCGGCGGACGTTCTGCGGTCATCCGAAATTTGCCTCTGCAGCAGTAAATTATTTAAGTGGCAGAACTGCTCGGAAGGTTTATCGCTTGGCCTACTGCTCGAAATTGTATTGACAGGCATTATCTTGTCCGATTCGGAAACGTGGGCGTTGCTGGGTGTGTCTGAACTAATGGTAGCCTGATGGTCGCTCGAAGCTAGCGATTCGTCATTGAGACTGTCTAGCTGCGTACTGGCTTTGGTCGAGTCTTCGTCTAAGCTCGATTTTTCAGAATTTGTGCTACGTTCCGATATTCGCGACAATGTACGTCCTAAAAAAGTAGCGCTATATCCGGGCAGTACCTCGGCCGATGTAATATTGACGCATATGTTCGAGTTATTACCTAATAAACAAGGATAACCAAAGTTTGTTGTAAAATTGGAAATGTCTCCGTTGCTTCCATTTTCTTTGGAAGGGATGACGTCTGCGTCCACTTTGAATCCGGACACGAAGTATTCCCGTTCCAAATCCGGATCTGGAGGCAATATACCTTCTTCGAAACTAGAAGAACCCGAACTCTCCAATGGAAACGGGCGCCACGTCGAGCTCGCTTCTTGAAGTGGCAACTCGCCAGTCTTCTGTTTACGCACGGCCATGCCCAAGCTACCCGAACTTGATTCGGTATCCAAAGAGCTTCGAGACTCCGCTGACAGTCTCTCAACGTACAGTAAAGCGCGCTTATCCACCCCTTTCCCATTTTTAGTTCGTTTATCGCAGTACGAATCGTCAATAGACGACATGCTCTTATCTGCGGAGGACAACTTTTTGACAATTTTTTGATGAATGCGTTGTCCCAATTCGGAATCGCTAGACCATTTCTCCTCAAACGGATACGGACTCTTCTTATACTTGATGCCGTCGTCCGGTTTCAACTCTTCGACCTCCTCGATCGGAGTAATATCGGGCGGAATTTCGTTTGCACCCTCGGAGCTTGACTCGTCGGAACAGTTGTTAACTATAGACTCCTCGTCAATTGTAAACGCCCGACCTAAGACGCAGATTCTCGGACTTCTCGGACTGCGCGGTACTTCCAACTCGGGCGAGTTTTTATCTAGCTGATCGCGCGAGGAGAATTTCTCAATGGTTTGGCTCAGACCGATCGCCTGCCCCATTGTACAGCTTAAACTGGATTCGTCTCCAGTTTCTTTGGGATTACCGCCACTTAAATCTTTTTCTCCGCTCGTCCAAGAGCCGGTCGTATCGCTTGAACGCGATTGATCCGAGCTTCGCTTCAATAAATCGATTTTATTAATTCTGGAACTTGTAGTTAGTAAGTTGAGATTTTCCGGAGCTTCTACCTCGGCGGTTTGCGTGGTGACCACTTGCTCTTCCACGATTTCGACATTAGGCTCTCCCACTTTTTCCGGAGACTCCAGAGGCCCCTCAAACTCAAACGAGTCTTCGGTACCTATGTATTCATCGCACTCCACCGTTATCCACGAACCTGTATCTTCAGATCGGCTCCTTTCGATACTCAACTTCAATAAAACCTCCTTATGTGCGTCAGTAACGCCTAAAAGGTTCGCATCCAGTTCACACTTCAAATCGCTCACTTCAGTCAGTGACTCATCTTCGCTAGTAATTCTAACCAACGCATTATCGGTCGGTTCCGGCACAGATTTGCTCTGCAGTTCGAGTTGTTTACGTTTTTCAAGTTTCTTCGCAATTAATCGGCCGACGGTTTCCGAGGCCTTTTGCAAATCCGAAATAAGCTTTGTGTCTTTTTCGGATTTGTGCGAAGAATCTCCCGACGAATCTATATACTTAATGTCTAACGAATTACCTAAACTAACTTTTTCTATACTTTGAGAATCCGATGAGCTTTTATTCTCTATCCTACTTAGGTCCGGCGGTTTACTACGCTGCTCAAAAAAATCCTTCGACTTCTGAATTACTACGATATTTCCTAACGCTTCCACTTTACTTTTATTTTTATCCTCTAACGACAACCAAATGTCCAAGCTCGTACCTTCGAGAGTAACCCGTTCATCTTCACCGGGTTGACTATGCACTTCGGCTTTAACTAATTTCTGTACATTCTCGGCTTTATCGTCGGGAGACTCCTCAAATTTGTCAAAAGTGTACACTTGGTCCTCATCGCGGGGCCTATTTTCCAAATCCAGACTTTTTCCTAACCTCTGCACCATCTTGGCAGATTCTCCGTCTTCGGTTTCATCAGTTAAATTTAATTCTAAACTCTTCGTGAGTTTCTTGTCCATTTTTTTATCGAGCCTCTTCGGTGACTTGGTTATAATTATTGCTTCTTCTAAGGAGACGTTGTTTTGTTCAATGGTATTGATGCTAATTTCCAATTTTCCATGACGTTCCCTCACCGATTCCTCAACCTGCGGGAAAACGGGTAGGACGTCTTTAATGGGACTTTTGACGGTCTTCGTTTGTTGAATGGCTATCTCGTACAGCATCTGTTGCTTTTCTTGCCGCTTCGCGATGTCCGTATCGCTACTATCTTCTAACGATTTAATACGCTCCCTGCTGCCGGCGCGTTTAAATTCCAACTTATCTAACGAGCGCGCCTTTTCCTTTGGTATAGTCTTCTTACTGGACTCGATATCTTGGCTTTTCGCACGTTTAATTTCCTTAACCTCTGATGTTTCCACAGTAAGCTGTTTTTGAAGGGCGACTTCGCTCATCTCCTCTTCTTCTACTTTGGCTGGTTCCGGTTTTAACTTAGTCGGTACGGGAGGTTTTATCGAAGCCGTTCTAACGGGAACCTTCGGAGGAATTTTGGAAATCGGTTTGTGACTTCTCTCCTTGGGTTCGGCTTTTAGAGGGGGGCGTTTAGCGGAGACGACCTTATTCTTGCTGTCAATTCTCTGCGTACGTGACGGCGCAGCTTGTTTAGAACTTTTCTTAGATCTATAAGCAACATCGGGAACGATCTGGTCTTTTTCCTTCTCTGCAACTTTCACCTTTGCTTTAACAGCGGGCTTCGTTTTTGACTCAACTTTTGGTTGCCCGCCCTCTACTGGCGCTTTACTTTTCGCGGATTCTTCAACATTTTTGATTTCCACGTGATCTTCTTCTTCCACCGTATCATCCTTACTTGAAAACGCGTTTAAAGGAGGCAATCTATTTACGGGAATGACGGGAGTGTCTAAACTCTTCGCTCGTCTCCCCGGAACCGGAGACTCGGTTGCCTGTTGCTTCTGCAGCATTGTCATGGCAGATCCTTCCGATAGGTTTAATCGAGCGTGCGCGAAAAGGTACGAACTTTGACCTTTCCGGCGAGATGACGGCGAACCTATCTCCGTCAGTTTCGTCTTGGACGGCACTCTTAAATCCTGTAAATCGCGCTCAATGTCCGATTTTAATAAAGCCTTCTCTTCGCTATCCTGATAACTTTCAGCGGGCAGCTCTTGAAGCATGAACGCCTTTTCGATTACCTGCGTTATTGTATCTTCCTCTTCTCTATTTAGATCTTCGCATATAGTATTTTCGGACGACTTATCTACCGTTTCCCTATCGACCTCTGGCACAGTAGGCAATACGGAATCGGGCAACGTTTCATTGAACACCGGTTGTAAATCGGCAGTGGCGATATTCAGATCGTCTTCAGAACTAGGTATCGAAATAGAACGCTCGGAAATTCGTCGGAGCTCAGTCTGGTAATTCGGATCCAAAGTGCGATCGTAGGGAATATCGACCTTGCGTGATTGTGGAGGTGATCCTTCGACTTCCGTCGACGACATGGTGTACTGCAGATATTTACGTTCGGCTTCGTACTTCAGTATTGACTCCATCTCCTTGCGAGTTTGTGGTGGAGAAAACTCCAACTTTGTAGGGGTCGCCTCGGCGGAACCAAACACGTCATCCGAATCCAGTGATTCATCATCGGAGCTAAAGGAGGTGATTCGTATTTTGGTTTTGTTCGACGATTTTGTGCCCTTTTTGTTTACTTGCGAGCGAGGCTTTGTTACGCGCTTAGGTTTGATGTCCGTCTTAATTTTAGTTTTAGTTGGTACCAATTTAGTTTCAATTTTAGGAATTATTGGTGTTGTTTGCACAGATTGTTCGATCTTAATATCGTCAATAAGCTTTTGATTCTTTTGTTTCGCGTCTGGTTTTAAACTCTCCGTCTTCGAACTTGTAGGAGAATCGCTTTCAATTTGACTAAGCTTCGAATTTAAGGTTTCCAATAAAACGGGATCAATTCTAGTAATATCGCGCTTCGGACTTAACATATGGTGTACCACTTTAGACTTGTCGACTTCCAATGTAACTGGATCGACCTTAGACAAATCGATATTTTGCGTAAATAGAAATGCGGACGGTTCAGATTCAACTGCCACTGGACTTTTCGGTTTAGTCTCCTCCACGACCACAGGAGGCTCGCTCGCATTTTGACTTCTACGTGATGGTTTCGCCGTTTCTTTAAATTTATTTGTTTCCTCTTTGGAGGCGGTTCCATTCATAATGTGACGCTTGTGTAACGTATATGGAATATCGTTTTTCGGGGGCAAATTTATCAAATCGGATTGCGTTTTTGCGCCCAACACTTCAAATTGACTTTTAGGAACTTCAAACTTGGTCTTTTGCCCCTCAATCTCACGTTTGAGAACGTCAAAATGGCCAAATTCTGCAGTGGGCATTTCAAAATGGGATCCCCTATACTTCGTAATAGGCGGCGCGCTTGGGATTTGCCTATACAAATAATCGTCGTCGCTCGACTCCGCCGGTGTTAAGTCTATCGATTTTTGATGCATCAGCAAGTGCCTCCTTGAACTGAGATTTAAACGCTGCCTCGCTAGAGAATTTGGGTCCGATTTGGTTCTTTCAATCGGTTGATGCAGCAGAAGTCCGTCCCAATTTTTTTCCAGCCGTTTTGGCTCAATTTCCACAAACACGTCCTTGAAGATATCTTTTTTGGATTCAAACGGTTTTATTATCTGCTCCGCAGAGATATGATTTGTTTGAACTCCCATTTCCATATCATTCTCTTGAAGGGATTGTATTCTATCCTCATCAAAGCTAAATATATTACTCTCAGAATCTGTCGACTTTAGACTTCTGGTTTCCTTTAGACTCTTTACGCGTCCATTTTCACTCCCCTTCGATGTCGGCACGGCAGCGTCGTCATTAAAATTGTCCACGACTTTGGAACGCAAATTATCAATTTCAACATTTTGCAAACTAACTGTTTGAACATGTGACATATCCTTGGAAAGACCATTATACCTTTCATTATCATCTTTCTTGCCGCTAATTTGCTTCTGAATCCCGTAGTTGCGCTCAAATGGTATTTTACGATCATATTCGTGTTGAAGTTTAATTAACTTTGATTCATCCACCTTCGAAATGGCATCGAAATAGTCACTCTTAGAATCCAAACTCGATGTGCACGATTCTATAAACTCGCACTTTTTACTTAAACTATCCATGCTCTTATTCTTCCTAACGAGCTTTTTAATCTCAGAATCGCTTTTCGACTCTTGACTCGAAGTTCTCGAACCGAAACTGGTTTCCCTACTAGATTTCCGACTGCCTTTCGATACCTTTATCTCGTAATAGTCGCTTTTTGATTCTAAACTTGACGCTCTAGATCCCAGCTTTATAATTTTATAATAAGTTCCATCGGACTTGCGAGGTATTTTCTCTCTGGGATAATCGCGAGGGTCATCCACGACGACTAAACTCTGTAGCAAATCTGAGCTGCTCTTCGACTTAAGCTTGTTGTCCTGATCCGAATCGACGTCGGACGGCAGATAGTTTCCAGAATCTAAACTGCAACTACGCGCACTAAAGGTTTTACTTTTCTTGTACTCGACGCCCAAACTGATATCGTCGTCCGACTTTTCGAGCAGCTCGTAACTGTCGTGCGATAGGTCGTCTTGGGAATCGCGCAAATCGTAATTGCCAGGATCTTCGATTGAATCCTGCGAGAACGACGTCGTCCCCGGATAGCTGCTGGAATAGATCTTTTGATCGGGCACCATGATGTCTTGTTGCATTTCCAGACTGCTTTGGTGAGTGCTACTATACAAGAGGCTATGTTCATCGTATCTAGTCACGGGAGATTCCAGTTTTCGCTTTTCTAAGTTCATGTATGATTTGTCAACAGCATTATTACCTATAGTACTTCTTTTCTTAGCCTGACCTGATTCCTCAAAACTATAATCATATAACTCTCTACAACTAGCGCTACGTTGCCATATTTTACGTTTAGTTGGAATTGCTATAGACTTATAGGTATATTGGGAATTGATTTGGGCGTCCAAATCGTTTTGTGACTGCGTCTGTGAGGGATAATTGTTGATAAGCACGGAGGAAGGTTCATCAAGCTTGCCCTCTGATCTACGACTATAGGGCATCTGGGCAGTAGTGGTGGGAGTGCGAGTAATACCTGTGTCGTCCCTGTGAACTGCTGCGAGAACGGCGACCGGCAAATTGCTGTTGTTGTAGCCCGGCAGGTTCTGATCCTCGTGCTGCGCATGCTGCGGGCTCATAGTCGCAGAAGTTGCCGAGGAAACCTATGACAAATTTGTAACATTAGTCGTAGCTGCCAGGAATGTAATCGATTTGTGCATCCATTTTAGAAACTTGTCTCAAATTGATTCACAAATTGATGCCTCCTGACCAAAATATTGCCAAAGACTATATTACTCTCCCATAGATAGCTCCACAAATATTAAAAATAGCACATTCAGTCATTCTACTAGATGGTGTCCACAGATTTTAATTACGACGTTTCAACTTTATTGTGTAACATTTTTTATTACGAAAACAACGATGTATCACACAATATGTTTCTTTATTGTCATTTAAAGGTACTTTACTTTGACATTTGATCAACGCCTACTACAGCAAGATGTTAAAAATAAAAAAAAGGAATAACAAGCCTTTTTTTCTGACTTAGGGCCGGTATTTCCATCTTCGGATAAAGTACTAGATTCGTACCGGCAAAATAACTTATACCGCCCGATATCTTCCGTTTATCTATCTGCGGGTATTTCCATTGGCGTGCGGTATAAATATATCCCGTAGATAGCTACCTAACCATAGCCAATGTTGCCGCTTTTAGAAGTCTGTAATAGAAAAAGATAGCGAACGGCAGAGCCATATATTAGAGAAAGATAGCTTACTACCTGACAATTTGAACGAATGCTTTTGTTTTTGAAAGAAATTCAGTGACTTATAATATATTTGTCAAACGTAAATTACAGAATAAGCCTTACTTATGAGTAGGTACTCTGAACATGAACCAAAATCGTGATGTAAATGCACCTCGTAGAAAGAAAAGAACTGCTAATTTCAGCACATCTGAAAATCGTGTGCTTGTGGATTTGGTTATCGAGTACAAGGACGTCCTGGAAAATAAACGCAGTGATGGGTGTTACTCGGGCAGAAAAAAATAATTGCTGGGCTCATATTGCCCAACAATGTAATGCAAAGTCTGGAATTAATAATCGTACAGCCGAAGCTAATCGTATGCAAAGATCACCTCAAATAATTCTTCGTCATCGGATTCGAATAAGTCAAGAAAATCTTGATCCATTTGGAATCTAAAATAGGTTACCTATATCCTTCAAGAAAACATAGTATGTATTTGAGTACTTCTACTTGCATACTTCAATTTCTTTCTTCCTATTTAGTATAGGTACGGTTGGTAATTTCGCAAATTTTTAAAACGTCACCAGTCTACTAGTAATTTTACGCAATATCTAGGGGTTATATTGATAACTGCAGAAAATCTACCCAATAACTTTATCTAGAGCTTATCCTGCCGATAATATTTAAACGAGGTTCGAAATACCCGAAGCGACGCTAACTGTCGGTTTACCTGGAAGATATCTTATACTTCACTTTATCCCGAGATGGAAATACCGGCCCTTAAATAATAAATAATTTTTCACATTTTGGTGTAGTAGGCGTTGACCAAATGTCAAAATAATTCACCTAATGACTTTCAAAGCAATGGTATCACTGAAATTTTCCAATATATGAAACAAAATAATCAAAATCCTTTGTGTGGATTCGATTCTAATTCATAAAATCTGTTCATGCAAATGGTTCTCATAGGTCGAGTCCTTTAGGTATATTAAAATTACTTCAAACAAAATTCGCTTCAATCGTACAGTTGACCTTTTTAAACCACCGTGATAACATTATCTTCGAATGAATGCAAAGATAAGCGGAAGGCAAGTTCGTATGAATCGCGAATCCAAGCAAACCGACTTCAATTTCGCGAAAGTAATGCTCGCAATCGTGATTATGCACAGGAATAATAAGCCAATATTCCGCTGTGTTGATATTAACTTTGCTCACTAGGTTTTGTTCCGGGTAAATGCAATTGTCTTTAAATTCCTTGCCGTATGCCGTGGTATACAAAATTTTAATTTTCGCACAATGACGTCACTCAACTTTAGGGAACTGGCTTTTAAGCAGGCGGTACAGTGAACAGTCTAAAAAAATTCTTTATTTATCACAATGAGTTTATTTAATCCCGTTTTTTATTTGAAAAGCAGTTCTCCGATTCGAAAATGTTCCTTCATGTATATTTTACCACTCATAAATAAAAGGCCTTGCTGTTCAAGTTTTTCTTCATCCCGGAAGTAATTCGTTTGTTCGCACACACGTATAGCTTGCAATTTGTCACAAATTCTCTCTACGGAATATGATTTCTCCCAAAGTTAAACTACAAATTTTTTCTACTACTAGGATAGATTTCACCAACTAATTGCACGTTCCGGTTCCCGACTTTCAACCGCCAATCAATTTTCCACAGGTCGGTGTTTGTATGTGATCGCTCGCGTAAATCAGCCTAGAATCCTCGCTTTACCACTTCTCTCGCTATTTTCTGAACGTAACGATTTGAATGTCTGTGCAACATCAGTCTTTCCCTAAATATACAGCATAATGTGGTGATTCAGTGTTATGGGGATGCGCCGGAGAACCGTTGGCACGGCGCCAGTCGTTCAGTGTCTGTGCTCCCATTTGAAGCAATAGTTATCACCACCGCATGGACGCTGGGTTTAGTGTCTCATTCGAGGTTCGAAGAGATCGTGGCAACCGCGCTCGCTTCCCCAGTACGTTACTTGTTATCGCCAGACATACTTTTATTCATGTTCACTATGAAGCGATATATGTAAATTTTTCTATGTTTAACAAAATACAAATTTAAAGCCAAATTTCACGAAAACGGCTAAGCGACCACCTGTTACAACATAAATTATATTGCACTTTTTATTATTATTATTATACAGGGTGTCCCTAAAAGGTCTGTACAACGCGCTACCAGGGGTTCTTGGTATCAAAATAGGACGATTTAACCCTACTTACCTCTATCCCAAAGTGCTTCGTTAAGGCGCTATTTGCCGCCAAAGATTCAAAAAACAAATCGTTATTTTTATTTTATCGGAAAATGGTTTTGCCGATTAAAATGAAAGTCGGGATGTGAATGTCTAATGTAAAAAGGGTCTTTGTGATATCATCGTTTTGATTGTAGTTGCTATGTAGGTGGTAAAATACTGACCATCCACATCTGAAGAGGTCTAAAACTTTTTAACTACTACTTTTTGACGGCTCTGAATTTTTAGACACTGATAGACAGTTTACTTGCAAGCATTTTTTGTCTCTTGATGAATATCGCTATTGGTGATGGTTTACGAAAAAATAAATAAATTTAGGCATGATGAATGGCATGCACCATACATGCGATTGTTCCTCAAAAACCATAAGTGCAAGCAAGAAGTAGGCTATGAAACCGTAGTGCAAGCAAGTAATCTAGAATAAACGAACACAACAGAGTAAGTCAATGTAATGTATTAATTTAAACGTACTAAATGTTCAAAGTGACCACCATTTTCACGCATACAAAGCATTATACGGCGTAATAAATTAAACTGTGCCCTTTGGAACATTGGTACGTTATTTTTTAAAGTTTTAAGTCTTCAAGCAAAACGTAAATTGTTAAAGTTTAAGAAACAACAAACAAACGTTAAGCCACTCTAAGGTTTAACAGCCATCTTCTGATTTTTTGAGGAACAATCGCATGTATGGTGCATGCCATTCATCATGCCTAAATTTTTTTTTTCGTAAACCATCACAGATAGCGATATTCATCAAGAGGCAAAAAATGCTTGCAAGAAAACTGTCTTATCAGTGTCTAAAAATTCAGAACCGTCAAAATAGTAGTTAAAAAGTTTTAGACCTCTTCAGATGTGGATGGTCAGTATTTTACCACCTACATAGCAACTACAATCAAAACGATGATATCACAAAGACCCTTTTGACATTAGACATTCACATCCCGACTTTCATTTTAATCGGCAAAACCATTTTCCGATAAAATAAAAATAACGATTTGTTTTTTGAATCTTTGGCGGCAAATAGCGCCTTAACGAAGCACTTTTGGATAGAGGTAAGTAGGCTTAAATCGTCCTATTTTGATACCAAGAACCCCTGGTAGCGCGTTGTACAGACCTTTTAGGGACACCCTGTATATATTTAAAATGTGACGCATTACATTTCTATGAAGGTCACTTTTTGGTTTGTCGCACCATTTAAAGCTAGGTATTGGTAATGATAGGCAATATTAAATTTAAAAAACGCAACAGTGTCCGTTCCATCTCTGGTTTTGGTACCAACAAAGTAAAGAAATTACAGACTTCGGCAGAAAATTTGACCAAGCAACTTCTCTTTCAAGCTGTAAAAACACAAGTAGACGATATCAAACTCAATTCAAATATATTTTCACGTTGCCATCATCACAATAAAATATCTGCATTGATAAAGTGGATAATACTTACCGATTGCGTCGTCAGAGGAGGTGAAGGCGATGTCGTCGTCTGAGCATACGGTATGATAGGCCGCTTGTCGGGGACCGAGCTCCAAGATATAACTGTGGCGTGGGGGAGAGAGGCTGATTTCGTCGTCGGAGAAGCCGGTGTTTCTGCAGTTATGTCCATCGATCCCAGTGAAGCTGATAGTTTGGACACTCCCACTGAATTACAAAAAGAAACAATTTTAAACGATGTTACATTTGAATTTGCGGCGTACAGTAAAACAAACAAAAACCTACCACTTAAAGTACTGTTGGCAAGTGGCAACAGCGGATGCGCAGAAATGCTATTTCCAACTGTGCTGGTGTGCATGTTCGTTGCACTTGAATGTGTACTAGAATGACGGAATGATGCTGACCTGCACAAAGGAACGAGGAATGAGAAGAGGTCACGAAAGTTCGTTTATAAAAGTAAATTACAGGACTCTAAAACTAAATTCGGTTAAAGAAACATATATCACTTATGGAGCACAGCCTAGAGCTGATTGGCTAACTTTAAATGAAATTTTCTCATCGCTTATTGCCTATTCAAACTACATGCTGTAGTGTTCTTGACAAACTTATGTCGATCATTTTTCCCATCCTCCTTCCCATATGCATCATTAATATGAAAAATACCAGCAGTGGTATAGCATAACTGACCAACCGTTACTACAACCATGCTCCAAAAGGGTTCAAAGTCTACTTTTATATCACTTGATCCGAGGATGACTAATGAAATATATACAAATGTGCCAATTTCTTCAAATATTGTACATGAAAATAGCAAGCAGTAATTCCAATATTGAAAGTTTTTAAAAAGCATTTACAAGCAACAGCATGTACTATAAAAGGCTTACAAAACTACATAAAGCGGTGCAAATTATTAAATTGAATCAATAACAAAATCACATTTGGACCTTTGTCCCATGTTCGACTCTCAGTATTATCTTATAACAAAAAATGAGTTTCTTCAAAACTTAACTTTTCCGCACTGAAGTAATTTGTTGAGACCCGGTACCTTCCCTTCATTTATTTACTTCTCGCGCATCGCTTTTTGTATTAACAGGTGGCTCTGTTAACAGTCCACAAATAGGGGAGTTACCTCTGCGCATGCGCGCGCAGCTTTTGAAATGTTCAATATAATCGATCGATTTTGCCTACTGTTAAAACTTTAGCAAGATCGGTCTATAAATAAGATAAGATTTTAAGTTCTTGTGCTAACAAGCTGGACAACAACAACTGACTTTTTTTCTGTGATGAAAACAATACTTTACCTACCCATATATGGATGCGGAAAAAAGTCTCTATGTTAGGGGTTGGCAACCTATTGAAATGGAAGAGCCAAAAGTTACTGTTTACAAAATGTCCCAGTTTTTAGAGCCATTAAAAATGTTCGATTCAATATTATAGTATTTGGTTATATACAGGGTTGTGCAACAGTGCGGCGGTCTTTCCTAGCCCATACCTGGTAAAAAATATCAAAAATCTATTGTGCACTATAGATGTGCGCATCTACAGAAATAATTTTTGAAGGTACAGGGTGTACCATTTTTGCAGTGTCAATAAATTAACCAAAGATAACATTGTGATTGTGACATAAAAACACAGCAAAAAGGAATAAAATCTGAAGTAGTCCAATTTTTGGACACATACAGTGTTACCCTTTCAGTAGCTTTGAAATCAGAATGTTAATTTCTTACACATCTTTAATGACAGATAAATGATTAATAACAGGAACTGTAAGTAACAATATCAAATTGCAGAAAACACCACTCGCATTACAAAAACTAGCAAATTTACATTTCTTCATCACACAACCAGAAAAAACTAATCTCAATAATGATTTAAAGATATACTTTTTATTCACGACTGCTACCTAGTTTAGAAAGCTTCCTTGAGTTACTCTGTTTGACTGCCAGAATCTCCTAATAGCAAGACTTATTATGCAAGTTACCTAGGCTAAGCAAATGGTCATTATATACCTTTATCACAGTGTATTAATAAGAGGTGTATGAACTCCTTACTTTTAACATAAGCGCAAAGTGAATTTTCTTGTAAAATCGCGACCACGAGCATTTTGTTCAAATGTAGGACAAACCAAAATAGATAAAAAAAAATGTATAGAAGGACGACAAAATCCACAATTGAAGCATCCGTTATTACATCTCTATTTTACACTGTGATCTTTAAACGTCTTAATAACTCCACTGAATCTCTGCTGACAAATGAATGACTATATTCATTCAAAACTAAAATGATTCAAAGCTGCATGATTCTTGCAAAAGTGAGCACTAAATAATGTAAAGCGAACATGCACGTAAGTAACGATACTTAAAATGTACCTTTGGAATGCTTGCCTCTTTACGTAATTATCTCTAACGAATTCCACTATTTGTTTTTGAGTCCTGCCGCTATACCTGCAAGAGAAATAAATAGAAAGAGGAAATAAGAACGAAACCCGAGTACCTAAATGAACTTCCTCTTGAAAGTACACGTGTTTTATGACGCGATGGCGCTTTAACCGACGAACACCGAAAAAACCCATGATTTTCTACACATTTCTTCCAGAAATTTTTACATTCGTTCCTTCCTTCGAAAAAGAATTCGACTATATCTTTGTAACCCTAAATCAATAATAATTCAAGATTACACGTAGACAGTGTGCCTTAAGTCTTACATATCCCTCCGGGTGTAATTTTAGAAGAAATCTTTTACGTTTAAAAGATATTTTCCTAATTTTCGCCCATGAGAATGTATTTATTTTTGTGTAATTCTGAAAAACCACAATTCCCATATGGGCCACTGCTAAATTTAAGGGCGCATTTTCGTGATCCTTAGCCGGGTGCATTTTCATACCGTACAGCTCGCATCTTCTCGCAGTTTCTAAAAGATTTAAATCCGCTTCGGCAGGTGATTGGCCACTAGAAAATGTTTAGACAATCAAAATATACTTGTAATTGTAAGGCAACGAACGCGTGCTTTTTGTGGTTTTCCATTATTCTCCTTTCCATTTCTGGATCTTGGTGCGGCACAAATTTGTAACTAGATAAGTAGGTGTGATCGGGATAGTCCTCGGAAACGTAATCGCCGCATTCTGCCTGTACGATGTAACTTGCCATGAGCGCGGCCGTGTTGTCGTTACATTGAAGAAGGCCATGGCATAAGTCCCTCTTCACTTGCAAACAGAAGAGGTAACGGGTGTACTCTTCTTCGAGTTGCGCAGGATCGGGCGTGTAAAATTTAACACAGAAGTGTAAGAGTGGATCGACTAGTGAAAGTCCGAGTTGGCGCGATATCGGTTTTTGCAGATCCAACCAGTACTAAAATAAATGCTTAACAATCTTTACGTTAGTGTTAAAGGTATTACCTTTGTACCAGTAAGATCTTGGTATTCTAGACCGAAATAATCAGCTTCTAGCAGATGCAATTGCTTGCATACTTGTTCAAACAGCACTCGCCCAACTGCTTTCGCCTACAAAAATTAGCAATAAAAAACAGAATTACACATGACATGCAATTATCCAATGTCCACATCATACCAGTACATACTAGCAGTAGGCATAGCTTCGATTAATTATTTACAATCCAATTTTGATAATCAACTGTAATAATCAAAGAATGTTGTATAAACAACGTCATGTAGACGTTATTTTGGTCCAAACACCAAAAGTAATGACGGGACATCCTGTATATCGGAGTACCTATTTCAATTACCAAGTGTAAATTTGGGGGATTATCTACGAATAAACACAGAGTTGGTTTATTGTATTTGAATTTGTTATCTCAGTGTTGTTTTTCCTTTTGGAAATTTTGTAATTGTATAATTGTTGCTTAAATTTTATCACTTTTGTAAATTGCTTATTTAGATTTGTGTATTTAAGGGCACGCCGCAAATAGTGGAGATACACTTATATTACCTTTTGCTTTATGCGATTGCCGAAAGAAGCACGCAATGGCATAAGATATTTTTACTTTATACTAAAGTCACTGTAAAGATGTAAATTAATATTGCTCACGCTACTTCTGTCATTTTACTTTCAAGAAAATTCAGCCTTAGTTGTTTTGTTGGAGACGCAGTTTGTCGATTTCGAAATAAAATGTGCAGAAGTTAGGCTATTTTCATAAAAGATTTAAGTTAACGTCCAATGAGGTAGTAAAAGTTGATGGAGAAGCAGTCTGCTTAGTGAAACCTTTCTAAGAGGTATGTCTTTAATTAAAAGTTTCTACCATCTGAGCAGCATTGGGCGAATGGAATGAGCTTACTCGTATATCTCGAGAACGGGGAAGCGATTGTTGTAGGTCTACAGCAGCTCTACATGACCGCGGAGTCAAGGGTTTACTCGATTATATCTCGAGAAACATGTGTCGTAACGGGGTACTCACGTTGGGACTGTGGTAGGTCTAGACCCTATATGACAAAGAGGTCAAAACTTTAATCTTGATATCAGGTGTCGGAACCAGATACTCACAAAGGGCTTGTGACAAGGCCTATATCAGCTATACGCACTGTGCCCAAGATAAGGATATCTATCATGGGGATTCTCAATGCATTGTGTGCAGGGGCACCATGCTGTTGAAACCAACAGTTTCCATTTTTTCTGTTTTTGTGTGCTGTACATCGTATTCATAATAAAAAATGCTACTCAATACTGTATGTACGTTTTTCACAGGTTATACAAAAAAATACTTATACGAAATACGAAACATTAAAAATCTCTCAACGCTGTCTTGTAGAGCTCAAATAGTGGCAATGAGAACATGTTTTTTTTTATTTTTTGTATTTGTTCACATCACATCAGAAAAAAACAAAAGCGCCAAATTTCGATTTTTGTGGCATATGTTCGGAAGTAATCGGAATTTTCTGGTTTTCTTTACGCAACTTTCCCCTAATTTCACCATCTTATATGGTTTCTGAGATCCCCATGATAGACATATTTATCTTGGACACAGTGTATAATGGCAGGGCCAAAACTTCATTCATTTACAACCATAACGAATACTCAGAAAGAGGTTATGGTAGGTCTAGACTAGAGTTACATGACTTAAATCATTTATATCTTGATACTAGGGTGTTGACATGGGGTACCCACTCACAAAGGGCTTGTAATAAAGTCTAGTTCATTCCACATGATACTAGGATCATACTCACAAAGGACTTATGAAAGGTCTAGGTATATTAGTTCTACATGATGAGATATTCACAAAGAGCCGTGCGCATTGTTACTGTTGTTAACTGGCACAAAAAATAAGAAATTCAGCCAAATTAACTTTTCTTACGTGACGTCAGTCGCGTGCGTAAACCTATGCTAATTAATATCTCTTCAATGCATACATCATTTTGGATGAAATATCCGTGGCAATGTCGCGGCTCTGACGATGGGGTCAATTGTTTACTCACTCGATTCTTGAGAAAGCGGTTTATGAACGGGCTACTGACGAAAGGATTGTTATGGGTCTAGGTAAGATCTGCATGATGACCACATTAAGACTTCTAATCGCCTGTTTCTCGAGAAGGGGGTGTGGGAACAGGCTACTCACAAAGGGGTTGTGCTAGCCTAGACCAGCTTTAAGTACATGAGGGCATGGTTAAATCTTCAATCGCTTATACAGGGTGACAATTTGAAAACTTACCACCCCCCATATCTTAGCAAATGAACAAGATATTTAAAAAAATCAAAATCCGTTTCGGTAATTCGGAGGGGGAATCACAATTACATAGTTGGCGACGCACCCCCTCACACCCCCTGCGCCCCAGCCACCCCAACTTTTAAATCTTAAATAGTGACCCCCCATGTGTGATACGTCGTTGGAAAGCTCTGAAAAAATGCTTTCCAACCATACCAATAGCATTACATTTAGGTTAGTAATTATCGTGCAAATCAAAAAATAAACTAATATGATACATTTTCTAAAGTTGGCTTTTATTTCAATAAATGTTCAAAATGTTTCCGTTATTGGTAAGACAGTATTACTATGCGATCAAAAATGAGTTGCTGTCGAGTCGCCCTTTGAAATTTTTGTTTACATGGAAAATCGTATTTAACTTGAACATCCAAAGCCGACTCGACAGCAACTCATTTTTGATCGCCAGTTATAATCTATTCTCAAACTCTTGTCGAACCTTTTCAAATGTTGGTTTTGCAATATTTCGACATTCTTGAATTATTCTCTGTCTTAGTTCGTCTATGTTCGCCGGTTGCGTTTTAAATACGACAGATTTCAAATGTATCATATTAGTTTATTTTTTGATTTGCACGATAATTACTAACCTAAATGTAATGCTATTTGGTATGGTTGGAAAGCATTTTTTCAGAGCTTTCCAACGACATATCACACATGGGGGGTCACTATTTAAGATTTAAAAGTTGGGGTGGCTGGGGCGCAGGGGGTTGGAGGGGGTGCGTCGCCAACTATGTCATTGTGATTCCCCCTCCGAATTACCGAAACGGATTTTGATTTTTTTAAATATCTCGTTTATTTACTAAGATATGGGGGGTGGTAAGTTTTCAAATTGTCACCCTGTATATATATTTTTGAAATTTGTATTTAGTCCATAACTTTTGTATGAGACGTCTGATCGAAAAAGTACGAATCGTTTTGGATTCTACGCACCAAAATTAGTGTGAAAAAGTGTTTTCCTGAGAAATTTTGGAACAGTCGATTTTTGGAAAAAAAGGAAGGTATAACACTGCCTTTTTTTGAGGCCGGGAAAAAAATTGTCTGAGATCGACCGGGAAAAAACATTTTCTATAGAGTTTGGCCCGTAAAATCCATAATTTCAAACAGTTCCAAGATTGGACTACTAGATCAAAAGTTACAGCCCTTTGAACTTTATGTATATATATATTTTTTTTTTCGAGCAATTTCGAGCTGTTGACAGAAAAGCTCCCAGTGAATGAGTTCAATATGAACATTTATAAGGTGTCTTTTTTATATACAAAATTCAGCCGTATATTGTAGTTCAGTAAAATAGGGACAGGACCCGAGGAATCATCACTGGTTTTGTGGTCAATATAGTCACCAGCTTTCGGGGATATACCCTAAAGCCATGAAGGCCGTAAAAAAGTGCAACAAATGTAAGTGCAGCGCATCCAGGCTCTTCTGCAGAAGAACCGGGAAAATCCTATCCGCTCTTCCTAGCCCGCAGGCCAGTACAGGAGCCTGCGAACTTTCTCACGAACGTTTTCAAGGTGTGAGTTCCACCAAGGTGTTCTCTTCTTTCCTCGAAAAGTACGCAGAGTATCGGAATATGATGAGAAAGACCAAGAACATTTTATGACTATAATTGGTTACTGTGGGGAGGATCTACAGGGTGTAGAAATTGCCTAGATCGGTGTTTACTTAAAAATTTGGATGAGGAGGAGCAATTATAAATGATGTTCGGTTCTGACTTGAATAATGGATGGTGCTAAAAGATAACATATTCGCCAATTTGTGGGGGGACGGGGAGGTCTCCTTGCTTCTTTTTGCACCGCAACGGTCCAACTGTCTAATGGTGAATTTGGATCCAGATGGAGGGATGTTGAAGCAGGTCCTCCACATTGTTTGTCGTACAACTATAACTGAAGCTGAAAAGCCCCAATTGAATGTTAAAAGTGAATTGCAAAGACGTAAGTGAAAGATCTGAATGCGAAGGTAATAAAAGTTGTATGTTACCGGCGGCCAAAAATACTTCCATTATTAGACGCACAATAAAGTTATAAATGAAGCATCAAACAGGGCACTTTTTCATCCATTAACAATTAATATTTCAATCACGTGTACATTTGAAAACTCCAATAATAGAAGAAGAGACGCGTTCTTTGTAGATAAAAGCCCAGTAAATTGTCAAAGCCTGAAAGCAATCGCTTAAGATTAAATGCTTTTAGCGCTGCCATGTTTTTCGCGTACACGAAAACGTTCTCGTTTCGAACTACCTTCGTATTATGCATTCTGTTAGACAAAGGAAGAAAATCTCTCCTCCTCGATGCAGTGTTATTAACGATAGTCAAAAAAAGATCGACGATGGGCGCTTTGATAGCATTTTTATATACAAGCGAGTAACCATCCGCACAAATTTCGATTATTAATTTTTCGTTTTCCGGAAGTTTTCCGATCAAAAGCTGACTGGATGCCTGTAACGTGCCTTAATAAAGTGATTTTTCTCTTGGAACATATTTGAAAAATTGATTATTCGTTTATTACCTCACCGACGACGTATTAAATATTCCTTTCTTGCCTGAGCTCGGCTCAATAATACCTATCCGTACAACAAATGAAAAATAAACAGCCTCAATTTCCCAAGACAAATACACATGACCTGGTATCGCGTTTTTTTATTGGCGACGACGAAGAGCTATTCATTCTGTAATGATGTGTTAATAATTAACGAAGTTCCTTTTGAAAACGATCGCCGAGTATACAAATATTTTTCTCCCGACCAGCGGCAGCGCGCCGCGAGGGGGACGTACGCAAATCTAATACAAACCAAAAGTTAAACATTTACGGAGATTTAAATTCGAAGGAATGCCGTGAAGTCATCCGTGTCTTACAAATCCCAATCCGATTTATCGAACCGACGACTTTGTTTTATCAAAGACTACTGGGATCGTCTTTGCCGGAGGGTTAATATTCTTTTGTAACTCGAACAAAATGTTTAACTCCCGAATAAATTCCATCCTCGAAACTCGAGGGGATTGAGAACTTCATGCTCATTTATTCCTTTTATTTACAAAACTTCCAACGGTATGATTAAACGATTATGTGCGGCAGGTACCTTTAGATTTGTCAACTGTAACGTCGATTGTTACCAATTATTTCATTAAGCCAAGGGATTTATTATTTTCGGTAGAGATTATAGTCATCGTTTCTCTTTTGAACTATTTCTATTCTTATTTCGCTGACAAATGTCTGAGGCAACCCTTTCCTGCCCTCCTTGCCCACCACCTTGTATCACCAACCTTCTTCTGAGAGATTACTCCAGGACTGTTCTGCAAAGTAATTGTGAGACTCTGGAGATTGTTAAAAAAGCTTGGAAAATACCAAAAATAGATGGACTAAAAGACCTAAGAGACAAAGTGCCTTGGTATACCTTCAAATGCGCTGTAAACCACCTTTGAAATTGCTAAAATGGTCTTGGACGGTTATAAAAAAGTCGAAAACAACCCTAAAAAAATGATAGGTAGTCTGGGGAGACTCAGAGCGCTATGGTAGACCTTCAATTACTCTGAAAAGTACCCATAAGACTGGAAAGGATTCTGAAAACGCACTACAATTTCCAGAAAGACGATAGAATTATCTAGAGACCTACAGCGATTCGATAACCATCCAAATGCCTTGTAAAGTACTCATTAAGGCCGATTCACATTATCGGTCACGTCACGCCCTGTCAATTATTGTAGCGTGTATTTCTTATGAGCATGTTCTGACCGTGACCTGATCGTCAAATGTGAAATGAGCATGTAACAATATTGTGAGCGGAGCGTGAGCAGAACGTGACCTGAGCTATAGTGTGAATTGGCCTTAAGGCCTCCAATCTCTTAAAAAGTACGTATAAAACCGCCGAAAAGCTGCGTGAAATTCGAAGAAAGCCCCCTGAATTTCTCTGCGAGAGTATTAGAATAGTGTAGAGAGGCTTAGGCGGAGTAAAAAAAGTTTCGCAAAATACCAAATATTTCGGAAATATCTAACGAGCTATGAGAGGGAGATATATTACTCTGGAGAGAAACTTCGATTGCTCTGGCAAGCCCCAAAATGATGAATGACTCTAAAAAGTAGTAAGGAGGCTATATAAAACAACACAGAATTAGGAGAGCTAAAAAGCTTTAGGAAAAATTCAAAACATTTTTGGACTTGGGACAGGATGCAATGGAGAGACCTTGATTTTTCTGGAAGGCTTGCTCTAGAAAGACGTACAGATCTGATAAGTTAAGAAAGGACTTTATAAGCGTAACATTTTGAAACGGACTCGTTAACGGGCTGATTTCTTTAAAATTTTCCTTTTTATTCTAAAAAGTTAATTTTTTTATTTTTAGAATTTTTCAAGTCAATGGATTCTTAGTTACATTGGGGGTTCCTGAGAGCGAGACAATTCGAGTGCCATTTTTCAGAACACTATCATAATTTTATTGAGGGTTACAGGGAAAGGGTTATCGACACTCAACAGGGGTGGCTTTTAACCCCCGGCGATTTTAACGTAACTTTACAGAAATGGGTTATCGACTTTTTAGTTTAGTGGAGGGGGGGGGGTATTTAATACTCTCCACACCCCCCGGCCCAACGTTTTCTACGGTATGGAGACGCGGTTCTCATAATCCTTCCCCAACAACCTTGAATCGAGTCCTGAAGCCTTAAAACAATTTGTGGAAGAGAACGTTACCGGGGGATCTAGCTAGGGTGTATTGAATCCCCCCCCCCCCCCCCCGTACACGAGATAGTTCGAGTGTTATTTCCGGAACACCACCATAAGCTCACTGAGGGTTACAGGGAAAGGGTTATCGACACTTAACAAGAGTGACTTTGAACCCACGGCGATTTTAATGTAACTTTTCGAAAAGGGGTTATTGGGTTATCAACTTTTTAGTGTATGGGGGGGGGTATTCAATACCCCCGCACCGCCGGTGTATAGAGAAGAGATTCACATAATCCTTCCCCAACAACTGTCAATCGAGTTCTGAAGCCTTAAAACAATTTGTGAAAGAAAGTGTTACCGGGGGGTCTGGGGAATACCCCGCTGAGTACACGAGACAGTTGGAGTGCCATTTCCAGAACGCTACCAGAAGTTTACTGAGAGTTATAGGGAAAAGGTTATCGGGTCCCACTTTGCTGAGTGAATTTGAACGCCCGGCGATTTTAACATAACTTTTCGCAAATGGTTGTCGACTTTTACGTTTGCAAGGGGGGGGGTATTTCATGACCCCCGGTGCCACGTGCGCACGTGATTGGGCTAGGGGCCGAAACATATTGGCTAGTGATTAAAGATGGCGGCGGCGGCGTGCCCTATTAGCACTATTTTGTAGGCGGCCACCCCCATCACCCACTGTAAACAACTGTTCAGTTAATTCTTTTTCAAATTAACTCGACCATTTTGATTACGCAAAAAGTCAAGTTCAGCAATTTTTGGTTCCATTCCGCGAATTCTAAATAGAGGGTGATCCAGTTTTCCAAGGTTGGACGACTCAAGTGGCAGTTTCTGGTAAAGCGTCAATTATTCATTCGTATTCAATACGAACCGCGTCCTTCAAGAAATTTGACGAGTAAAATTTTTAAATTGAAATAGTAAATTCTTGGACGATCCGATCCAATTACTTTGTAATTGTGTGAAACGTTAACCAATATTCGTGTTAGAAGAAGGTAATATTTTCCATTTTAATTCAATATTAAGTCTTGAAAATCTTCTAACTGAGTTACATATAAATATTTTTTTGGGTAAAAAACCAGATATTCCATATTTTTCTATTGTTCATTTGAGGTTTTTTTTTGTTTGACAGCAAAATAAAACGACCTTGATACCTCCTGCTCTCTCTCATTTTCTGATTCTCCTTCACACCCAACTGACTTTCCCTTCTGCCCTCTATCCTACTCTGTCCAGCCTTTGTCTATTATCTCCTGCCTTTGCAGCTTTTCTTTCCTGTCCCCGCCTGCTCCCACAATCTGTTCTGTTCTGCTTCTATCATCCGTTTCAAGCTTCGCTATCCGTCTGTGTTTCTGTCCCCTGACTTTTTCTGCTTCCTCTTCCACCACCCTTCTTCTCCACTCTAGCTGTCGTATCTTCTTTTCTTATTCCCCCAGAGGATAGAGTAAGACTAATCGGATCATTTTTCAATTCTTTTAATGCTTCCCAATCCTTTAAGGATTTCTGTCCGGATCCTTACTCTGAATATTTCTACATCTTGTACAAAAACTCTGGTTATGCCATTAACTCTCTCCTCCATGCGCTCCTCTTGCCCCTCGGTGAGTGTTCTAGACAATCGACGACAGGAATAAGAATCTGGTAGAACTTATTCCCATTCAATGCAAACATCGCAATTACATGGAAGCCTGGGTGTCGTCTTCTTCGTTTACGTTTCGCACTTTCTCAATAATTTCCATAATTCATAAGGGATGGAGCGTATTTTTCGAAGAATCCAAAGCTCCCGGAAGACTCGATTCATTTAGGAAGCATTCGCAAACAAACGTACAATTACTATAAACCAAAGCTAAATACCGAACAGGCTCTAAATTCAGCCAAACTTAACACACACTGGTATTAAATTTAATCAAAGTAACAATGTAGCGGTTGCGAACGAAACCTCGGCCGCCTTAGAGGGTGTTGAAAATATAAGTTCTCATTTGTAATTTGCCAAGTGCGTTAGTTAACGTCTTCGCGCGAAATATCAAGAGGGCCGTTAGGAGAAAGTTGGAGAAAGTCACAGTTTTGATTATTAAGCGTGCCAAAGCCGCCTTTATACGCATCTAAAATAAGAACACTTAACTTAGAAGAGATTTGATTAAAATTATTATAGCTCGCCTAAGTATGATTGTGTTATTTAAGGTGTGACTTGAGGTACGTGTTATTTAAGCTCATCAAATTCCGTCTACGTAACTCTTCTTCGCTCCTTTTCACCCGGATCTTGCGCCTGGAACGGATAGTGACGGCGAGCGTCCGCCTGAAGCGGATTTTGTCGTTAGAAAAGTGCGTATTAATGTGTTACATTGTAAGGGAAGATTCTCGCACGTTTTGTCTTAATATTCTGAACAAATATCGACGTTTGTGGTGAAAAGGCGCGATTATCTTTATGGCTATCTTTAAAATTAAACATCTCGCACCGCGCTTTACCTTTACGCACGTAAATCTTATTAATTTACACTATTTATTATAATAATTTGCTTATTTCGCAACGTGATTTGGTTACCCGATATCTTAAACTTTCCGCACATCGCCACTACATAATGGTTTGTAACATCTAAATACACGCACGTTACATCGAATTTTTTATCATCACAGTCCCGTAAAAGTTGGTAACATCTATATACAACCCAAAAATTAACATTTTCCGCTCATTAGGGCTCACAAAAATTTCACGTGTTACATTTGATCGAATTACACGAGATATAAAATAAAATTAATTAGATACGTTGTCCGTGATCGGAAACCTTGTCAACAGTTCCGTCGTAAGGGCTCTACATTGATTCTATTTAGTAGTCAGAGCACATCCAATTTCCCGAGGTGATTCCTCTATACCTACCCTTATTTGTTAACAATGTGTTGATTTTCTATGATCGAATAATTAATTAATTGACATAAACCCTCGGATCCGTAATTAATTATTGAAATAATGGGAGGAGAAGTTTCGAGGACATTCCTCGAAATTTCACAAAGAAAACAATATGTTTCAATATAGCTAATAAGCTTAAAATACAAACTCTCTCTCTCTCTTTCCCCGACGGATCCCTTACACTAATATTTGTGCTAATTTTAAGGATGAATAAGGCGCGCGAATACCCCGCAATAGACTCGTGTTTCCTTATAAAGCACAGGTAAGTGGAAGTTTGCTTTCGATTTAGCATTGTTTGAAAGTCTTAAGTGGCGGAATTATATCTTATAATTTAGTAAATATTCAATACTACCGGTAATCTCTTGTGGATTTGAAAGTAAAGCGAACGCAGGGAGGCGCGCTTTTTTCAATTATTCGAGATGTTTAATATTTAAACTCGATTTATCGAAGAATAGATATCGGCCTAAATTTGCGTTTCTATTATACATTGCGACGTATTCAATTTGTACCCTTGCGTCTCCCATTATACCTCCCAACCGCCCTTCATAAATATGAGAAAATACCAATAAGGTGCAATTGATACAAGGGGGAAGAAAGAAAATTCAATAGAACGGGAACAGGAAATTCAAATAAACTCTCTTAACTGCTTTCTATACCTTAAATATGCATGGATTTGGAAATTATTGAAATTTCTGTCACCCCCTTCGTTTTTTTCGGTTATGAATATATTTATGTATCTTCCTTCAGACTGTTTTCGTGTGCCTTTCTCGATAGTGTTGTCAACAGTATAGGTAAAAGTATATTGCTACGGACCAATGCAGAATTATTTTTCCATCCACAAATGGGTACAGTGATTTACAGTTTCAAAATTTGCAAACTTTGAAAGAAATTCGCTCTTACATTACAATAATTGTTCAATATCGAGGGTTGCAATTCTTGTGGAACATCAAATATATGTAGCGAATATTCCAGATATCCCCACAGACATCGAGGCGCTATAAAAGATTAATTATCGGCGATCAATAACGAAGGCGATCTTTCATGGAAATATAGTGTTTGCTCTAGAACATTCTGAATCTCGAGAACACTCTAGAGAGAATTGTGTTTCGAGTTTAGTTCTAACTTCGATGCGGTCACAAAATCTACCTTCTAAAAGTGTTTTGCTGGAATTGAAGTTCATGAATATCCCCGAACTGTATCCTCTAGAACACAAAAATGGTTGTAGGAAATATACCGTTGATTCTTTCTTTCCTGGGGGGCATTCCATACCCCCCAGACCCCCCGTGCAAGGCCCTTCCCCAGAATATTTATTGGTCTTAGCACTAGAGCCATACTCCCCTAACCAATACCCCCAACCATATCCTCTAGCACACAAAAATTGTTGTAGGTAATATACCGTTGATTCTTTCTTTCCTGGGGGGCATTCCATACCCCCCAGACCCCCCGGAGCAAGGCCCTTCCCCAAAATATTTATTGGTCTCAGGACTAGGGTCATAATCCCCTAGCCAATACCCCCAACCATATCCTCTAGCACACGAAAATGGTTGTGGGAAATATACCGTTGAACCTTTCTTTCCTGGGGGGTATTCCGTACCGAAGACACCTCGATTGTACTGGTAAATTTTGACCTCTCTTCCGCAGAGAAACTTCTGGAATGGCTTTTCTTCTTCACGTACACTTGCCTTCGTAACATTTGGCGACATTCCCACCTTGTTTTCTTGAAACCTCAGCACGATGGAAGGAATCAACTTAATTAAATTGGATCTCTTCGCAAGCCATTCATTCAAACTTGATTTCTCCCGGAAATGACATGATGCGTCGAAAACTGACCGCACGGGAGTAGGGGTAGGAAATGACCAATCCCTTTTTCAGACATCTCTGTCATGATTCCCTTCTTTTCCCACAAATTAAGCCTTGCATCGCAGTCATTCCACTTATTTTATTGTTGAAGCTGCATTCTTTTGAGATACTGGGCGATTTGTGGGGGGATACTCCTCTTTTCCATTCCAAGGGAGTGCTACCGCCTTCCATTATCTTCCCTCTGAACCGTCTTTAAAAACAAGTTACTAGGATCCATGTCGATTTCCGTCTTTGACTTCTGGTCTATTGGGCCTTTATGCTGATGGTCTTCAGAAAGGTCTTTGAGAGACGTGGTTAACTCCGACAATCGTCCCCGATCGCCTTCGACTCGCTCGGCACTGCTTTCAAAATCATTACTCTTGCATGCCTTCGGCTCGGTCTGTATTAGAATATGCCGAGCGAGCCAGAGGCGAGTTTGGCACAAACCTAGGCAGAGTAAACGTCTGATGGGGTAAGTCCTCTACTCTGCCTAGGTTTGTGTTGTGTTTGTACTGTTTTTATGTCTAGATTTCTAATGCTTTAAAACACCTGTTGTGTCTTTGCTGATCGACTGCTGACAAAGTCCTTTCCCACATTATTCTTATTTTCTTTATTTATTTTATTTTTGTTTTGCCTATTAGTTGTTTTTGTGGGAATAAACATTATTATTATTATTATTATTATTATAAAGGGAACACTTAACCAGCAACAATTTCAACCTCTTTCCAATTTGCTTGTTTGGGAAATGTTGGGAAACACGATAGTACAACAAATGTGACCGAAACGGTTGTGTTTCCACAGCGAAAGTATCGTCGCCAGCAAACCCAGTTGTTCGCTGATCTTGACAACTTTGCTGTGGATTTGCGATCGTTTGCTGTAAATTTTGGGTGCAGGTGCACGATATGAAGTGAATTAAATATTTACTGCGTACGTTCCGATCCCTTCGTCTAACGGACGTCTGCACCTTTTCAACGTTTGTCTCGACGGAACGACTCCTAATATGATAATCGAACGAAAACGTCGGAGTTAACGCAATAATAGATATGAGAAGCGAGCATTATTAGATTATGGCTTCGTTAATAGAAAATGCAATTTGTCTGTCGACCGTACGATAACGATGACAGTAAATGAAAAAACTCGAAGTCAGGAAATGAATGTCCGAAGCATGATTTATTATTGCATATACCCTCATTGCATGATCGGTGACAACAACGTGGCACGCGACATCCAGTTATTAATAGCTTAATGTATCTACTATCAATACCTACTTGTTCGGGGCTAAATTATATATTTTACCTTGCATTAACATGCCTCGCCCTTGTTTTCGTCGATAAATGTTAATTTCCTCGCATTTCGTTTATTTTATTGGGGGTTTTAATGGAAAATGGTCACTGTGCGGGGTGTAATTGAAGATATTTAAATATTCTGAGATGATTCTTTTACAGAAAACACTTACAATAATGTTTCTAAGAGAATTTTGCAGATGACTGTAAAGAAGGTTTCTAATATCTCTAGAGTTACCCAAGAAGATTTCCGGAGAGGTCATTTTTAAGCAAATCTGTAGTAAATTAATTGCTGGTAAAACTGTCACCTCGGTTTTTGAATTGTTTGTAATATTTCTAGGTGGAGTTCAAACAGATTTAAGAACATCTTGAGGAAGAAAGAAAACTACGAAATCGCTTTTGTGCTGTTTTTCAAGGTGTTCACTGTTCATAGATAGGAAGCAAGGGAAACGATGATGTCCAGCTGATGATCTTGAAGATGATTCATAAAATTGCAATGTTTGTAGGAATCTTATCTTGAAATTAATGATCGAAATTAGTATCTTATGTTCATGATCAAGTTGCAAGGTCAAAGGGGTGTCGCAAGGTAAAACTAATGGCCCGTTGCTATCACAAAAACTTTAAATGGTCGAAATCGTTCGGGAATTTTTTCACGCTAGCGAAATCGATGGGATTTGCATAAAAGTAAAGGAATCAATATAAATTTTCAATT